ACACACACAGCACCCACACACACAGCACTCACACACACAGCACTCACACACACACACAGCACTCACACACACACAGCACTCACACACACACAGCACTCACACACAGCACTCACACACAGCACTCACACACACACAGCACTCACACACACACACACAGCACTCACACACACACAGCACTCACACACACACAGCACCCACACACACACAGCACACACACACACACACAGCACTCACACACACACAGCACTCACACACACACAGCACTCACACACACACAGCACTCAAACACACACAGCACTCACACACACACATCACTAACACACACATCACTCACACACACAGCACTCACATACACAGCACTCACACACACAGCACTCAAACACACACAGCACTAACACACACACATCACTCGCACACACAGCCCTCACACACACACAGCACTCACACACACAGCACTCGCACACACTCACACACAGCACCCACACACAGCACACACACACAGCACACACACACACAGCACTCACACACACACAGCACCCACACACAGCACACACAGCACTCACACACACTCACACACAGCACCCACACACACAGCACCCACACACACAGCACTCACACACACAGCACACACACACACACAGCACTCACACACACACAAGACAGCACCCACACACACAGCACCCACACACACAGCACCCACACACACAGCACCCACACAGCACTCACACACACACAGCACTCACACACAGCACTCACACACAGCACTCACACACACAGCACTCACACACACAGCACTCACACACACAGCACTCACACACACAGCACCCACACACAGCAGCACCCAGACACAGCAGCACTCATACCCAGCAGCACCCAGACACAGCAGCACGTTGTGTTTATTGCTCTACACATTTCTATTCGCGTGTAAACCAGTAACCGGTTTCTTTCAATGCTGTTACCAGTTACACACAAAAAATAGATTTTAGCCATCCTAGTGCATGCATCACCCCACTGACACCACACCGCACACTGGCACACACCACCACCACTTCCTCCGACATCACACTACTCACACCACTCCACAAGGACAGGGTTCGGAAGCGTCGCCATGGCTGGTGAGATGCGTTGCCTCCGCCATGGATGACGGCGCTAGGCAATTACAGCCGGGCCCTGGCACCGTGCGCCAGCCCCCGCTGCTGCGGCAATCACAGGCCCTGGCTGCGCTCTCCTCCTCACACCAATCCTCTCTCCCCTCGCGGTTGTTGTGGACGAGAGGCCCAGGTGGCTCGGGGAGGTGAATTTAGCGTGGGGCGGTGATCAACTCTGCAAGCAGCCCCGAGTCAGTGGGGACATTTCCACATTCATATGGCAGGGACCAATGTCTCAATTGCATAGAGCTGGAGCTCTCAATAGTCCATTTCTACGTATTGTTATGGTTCTTGAACACAGGCCCAAAGGCCAAAACGTCCAGGAGCCAGAAACAAATATCACCAACAGAGTTGTGATGGAGAAGAGATCCCACATCTCTTGAACTGAACAAGGTTGCAAATTCTTGGGGAAAAAAGACGATGGGAAGAAATTCAAAAAGTGCGAGTAAAGAAGCAGAAAGTGAGCTGCGTTGTTGCGAGCTGCGTTGTGGTGGTTAAACATGGCGTGGATGAGAGGCGGCAGTCTGGTGTACAGCCGGGAGGGGTTCATAGGAGAGAAGACAGCCACTCGGCAGCCCCCTCTCCACACCGCGGGCGCTGCGCTGTGGCTGTGCGGAGGGCGCTATTAGAGGCGCCTATTGACGTAGACCCGTGCTATTCTCTTCCAGGGTCTTTCCTGCACTCGATGATGCAAGACTGCCGTCCGTAACCACGGTTCTTCGTTCGGATGGCGCAGTTCCGTTATAATTTGTGGAAAAACCCACACGGTGTTAAACAGCATTTTTGAATGATCATCAAACATTTTACAAAGTTGGGTGCACGATTTATAATCCCATCCCATGTAATTATCTTTTTAAGAACGTGACCTCAATTCATCACACATCCAACAGCTGTCGGGTAAAAATAATCACGCGGAAGGCCATTGCCACCTTTCGCGGGCACCCTTAATGTAAGGGTGACGCCCGTGCTGGCCACGTATGGATTTAATCGAGGATTTTGCGCAGTCAGCTCCTGTGCGGAGGGCGCACCGAGCCCCGTGCGCTTAAGGGGCGGGTGGCCTGGGCCCCTCCACGCTCTCCCTGATGATCGCTTGGAGAGATGGGGCCCAGCAAACAGCGCATCCAGGGGACGGCCCTCTCCTCCTGCTGCTGCTCGCCCTCCCCTCCCCTCGCATTCACCGACAGTATGCGTCCTCCACACATGCTGGAATCAGCAATCCCCAAAAATACCACACTTATAAATACCGCTGCGACCACGTGCTGCCGCACGGCCAGCGTGAGGTTGAGCGGAGCGGGCAGGATGGCGCACGGGGCTCTCGCTGGGCCCAGCAACACGAACAGCCAGGGCTAGCAGGGCTCGTCCGGGGTTAGCAGAGCTCGTCCGGGGCTAGCAGGGCTCGTCCGGGGCTAGCAGGGCTTGTCCGGGGCAAGCGCTGCCCCCGATCCATGAGATGGGGGGAGGCGGCCACGAGACGACACAAGATGTGTGCTCAGCTGCACCGGCGTGCGCCCCTCACCCATACCCCAGGAATTAACTTTTCCTCAAAGATGGGCCACGTGTGCACGCCACACACACTCAGCCACTGAAAACGTAGGGCCATGTTAACACGGTGCTGTGTACACGATGTTCACTCGCTGGAGATCGGTGCAATGCTACAGCCTCCTTGGCTGCCCCTTCAGCTGCCCCTTCAGCTGCCCCTGCACAACCTCTGCCGTGCCATATTTTATGGCCCCATGGGCGCGAGGCACTGGGTGTAACGAGGTCTGGAAATGTTGCTGTGACAGAGGCCAGAGATGTCTCCTGGTGAACGCATTCCAGTGCGTGAGCCGTATTGTCTGGAACTTTCCTTTATAGAATTTTCCTTTGGTTTTTGGCTGCATTTTCGGTTCCTTGGAGCCACGGTGCTGCCTGAGCTCTGGTGAAGGTTCACGCCCACTGCTCTTGGGTCAGCATATAATCACCCACGAATTGGGGAGGTATTTTTTGGCTTCCTACGTAATAACTGTTTTAAACAAATTAACGTCAGACTAGAGAAGAACTATCCGCCGGACCAATCTGATGATGATCACGGACCATGTGCTCACTCATTGTCAAGGCAAATTCAAAGAAGAGATGCATCTTTGCTCAAATGAACAGCACTCACCTCTGCCCTGGGCCCACTGAGGTGTGCAAGGAATTCTGTCAGGGCTAAGGGGGGCAATTGCCAAGGGCCTCACTCAAAATATGGCCCCACAAATGCATTGGCTTCTGGACGGTGGAATAAAAGGGCCCCACCAGGTGGAATTCTGCCCCCGGCCTTCAGGAATCTCTGGGTGGCCCTGTAAGTTAGCACCGTCGCATGGTGACACTAGCGCATCGCCAACGGCTCCATGGGAATTGTGCCTCCTCACAAGTGGTTCTCATATGATCAACCTCGTATGGACGATTGGTTAAGTGGACCTTTGACTAGGTTGAACTTGCAGCCTTCAGACTGTGAGTTGCGCGCTGGGTAACCCTGCAGTAGGACCTTAACTCTACCCAACACCCTCATGCACCACCACCCTCTCACAAACAACGCAACCCCCCCATCTTACTTCCTCATCATCACCAGGCCACAATATCATGACACATTTCCCAGTAATGATTATTCAAACATCAAATGCTATTTAATGTATTAATTATGTTGGTTGCAGGGTTATTTTTTGACCGTTGGCTTTTCTTCCAAGCGTAACAAATGTTAACCCCAGCGCCTGCCCAAGGCAGAAGTTAGGGGCACAGGCCATGCGGTCCGCATCACCACCACCTTGGACTTGTATTCAAGATGTACTGACCAATGTTTGCGTGGCCCAACAGTTACAGCCACATAACACTGCCCCGCCCACCCCTCTCAATGGGATGGTGTGAACGTAGTTCTAGAAGCGCCTCCATCTCCCCCGCAAAGCAGTTTTGTCGATAGACTATTCACAAGGCTCCCACCACCTCCTCTTAGCCCCTTTGCGCCCCCCCCCCAAAGTGTCCTGCCTGCTACACAAACCTCCCCAAGACCCATTTGCCTTCTCACACCCCCACATACAACGCTATGCTCGGCCTTCATTCTCAAGTCCACCATTATTCTACCGATGACCGCAGCCACCCAATGACCTGCAGACTCCAGTCTGCTATGGCCTCCCCCAGTCCATCAAGGTCCTAATAGGCCAAGGCCCCCCACTCTCCCATGTCCTCCCGTCTCTGCAGCTCTGCCGTGCCCCTTTCCCCTGGCCACAACCCCGTCTCTGCCCCCCCCTGCTCCCATCTCTGGACCCCCACGTCTCTCGCCGCGGGGTTCATTTGATTGTTTTTTTCCCCGCGGCGCCGCATTCCTGGGTTCACGAGATGCTGCGCGTCAAGAGCGCGGGGGGCCCCGGGGGGGGTCCCTCTGGGGGGGTAGGGGCCGCGCTCCCTGGGGCCCCGGGTACCCGCGCCCCCAGCGGGGGGCGAGGGGGTCCTCTTGATGGGGCTCTGCATTGACACGGACTGCTGCCGCTTCGCTTGTCCACCGGCCCGAGCGGGGCCCGCGACTCGGGGCGTGGGGGGGGGGGGTCCAGGGTCCCCGACAGGGGACGGGGCACTAAGCGGGAGAAGAAGCAAGAGACCCCCCCCCCCCCGAGAGAGGCAGCGGGCCCCGTGTCGCAGCGAGGGGCGAGCGAATCCCGGACCCAGCGGCGACGGGGAGGGAGACCCGCACAGGGCCCCGACCTCGAGACCCCGGGACCCCGATCCTTGGGCCCCCTCCCCGAGCCCCTCTCAGGGCCCCGTGGAGAAGGCGAATAACGGGACCCGCGCGAGCGCAGCGGCGGCGGCGCGGGGTGAGGGGGCAGCGGGAGTCGCACTCACCCCATGGCGGCGGCGGCGGCAGCGAGGCCCGGGCGGGCGGGCGGGCGGGACGAGGAGGGAGCGAGGGGACGAGGAGGTGGGACGAGCGAGGGGACGAGGAGGGACGCGCAGTCGGGGTCCCCGGGGCCCCCGCTGCTCCCGCCGCCTCCGCACAGCGGACCCCGAGCGTGACGTCACGCGACGTGCTGCGTCATCACGCAGCGGCGGCACCGAGCGCGTCGTCGCGCACGCCTGCGTCCTGACGCCGCCCAGTTGGTTTGGCGACGTCATTGCATAGCGCGTCGTGACGTCATCGTCGCGTTATCGCGTCCGTGACGTCACCGCTGCGCGGCACGCGCATGGCGAATGGAGCCGTGACGCCACTGCTAAAAACATCACGCCCATTTAAAATGGCATGACGTCACGGCGTGACGTCATGCGTCGCCGCGCTCCTGCCTCAGGATGTCCTGGCCCCGCCACGGGAATGTGAGTGACGTCCACTTTCAAAGACTACGAGCCCCCCCCCCCCCCAGGTATTCGCGCAAGTCGGGAGGCGAGTGTGGATAGTGGGGGGGGCCCTCCCCATGCCTCCTCGACCCGGGCCCTGCGCCGCTGCGCCCCTCGCGGTGTCGCCTCCGAGTCGTTCGGCGCGCAGCACGGGAGGGGGCGCTGCGGCCTCACGGTGCTGGGGGTGATGATGGTGGACTTGGTGGTGGTGGACTTGGTGGTGGTGGACTTGGTGATGGTGGTGGCTGTAGAGGGGCCCTGGTATGAGTGGTTGTCATGGTTACTGGGACTGGGATTTCACGAGAACCGCGTGTTTCAGCTCCTCGTGCTGCTGCTGCTGCTGTGGAGCAGTCAGTGGCTTTCTGTCACGGAATATTCCGCCACCAAATACCCGCACAGGCATGCACGCTGCAAGGGAGTTGACGTGTTTCCTGCAAACGACAACCACACGCCTCCCTATCCACCAACACTCCAACGATGTCACCTCGCCGCAGGCTCAAGTCTCGACCCCATCCCTTGTGGGATCGCGCTGCTGCTGCCGCTGTCACCATCCCAGAATCTCACCCAGATCCGCAAGGACGCCGCTGGCCAACAGTGGAACAACGCGGCCGTCCAGAGTGAACCCCTCAAAGGAGATACAAACATCACCGCACCACATCCTGGCTTTGACATTCCTCCTCTAAGCCACCGGTGGAACCATCGACCGCATCAGAAGACCAACAGGGCCCCACGGTGACAAGATGTTAACTCCCTCGCCTGGTACACAAGAGGGCCTGGGTTCGACCCCGACCCTGACGCCTGCATTTTTGGAGGTTGCGTGTTCTCCCCGTGGTTGCGTCGATTTTTCTCCGGGTCCTCCAGTTTTTCCCTGCACATTTAGAATCGTACGTTTAGAGCATTTGCCGACTCAAAATGTCGACATGATAAGCCACTTCATTGAGCTAGCATTTGTGGCTGAGTCGCTTCTGAAAAAGAGCTACTGTATATAGCTCAGTGGGGCTTACCTGGTAACATAGTAAACACACAGGGCAATGCACACACCTTCATGGATGGAATAGTAAAGACAAAGCCACAGTAATGAGATTCTGGCCATGCAGCCTAAACGACGGGCCACACAGTGAACCACTGTAGTAGTCTAAGAGGGACAGCGCAACGACACGAACTCTCTCTCTCTGCTGAAGTCCTCTCGCCGTGGCCAGGAAACCCCTCGACATTGCTGTCATGCACAAGAATAGAACAGTGGCCCCATGTCCTCAGTTCCAGACCCCCCGTGTCCCTCTCTGTAACCCCCCCCCCCTCCTCCACCCCTGTCAGCCCTGGAGCCTCCAGTCCCCTTCTGTACCCCCGGATATCAGCGGCAGGGGTCGCAATGCACCAGCCGCCTCTGCCTGACCCTGGCGCGGTCTGAGTTTTAATATCATGATGACTCCCGATGGCTCAGTGAGGCCAAAGCAAAGCCCACCTACTCAGACACAAACACAGCAAAGGCACCACTACTCTGTGTATAGCGGCTTAATACGATTTGGATTCATACAGCGTCTTTGTGTAACTGCGTCCACTTTATTCTGTGTTTGTCTGTTCCTTTGCATATTTGTGAATCTGTGTTTATGAGCGTGGGTATTTGTGGATCTGTCGTGTCTGTCTCCCTGGGGATCTCGGTATGTCATCTGTGTAAACACCGCTGCACGGCCTTTAGGCGGCAGGCAGGCGCGTACAAGTGCTGTAAGCGAGCACCCATGATGTCCGTCGTACGAAGGAGTGGGTGATGATTAAACACCGCACCAAGTACTCAGGCTAAATCAACGTAGGGGAGACATATAACCAGTTCATATAGAGGATTCGTCACCCGTGTTAGCCGTGAGCGGGAATAAAACTCGGGTCGCCGGGTTCGTAGCGCAGCGCCCTAACCACACACACTCACTCACGCCACGTGCCAAGCGAGTCAATGAAAGCGTTGAGTCAGAGGACGGCGACCCGCAGCCCTGCCCCGTCTACCACTCCAACCACCGCAGCTACACACGGCCACTCACAATCACAAACAGCGCGCTCACCGCTGCACTACCTCTCCCCATCAACAGCCACACAACGGCGCCATTCGCCATTAAGTTGCGGTGACGTCAACACGGCGTTTGTGCCAAGCTATGTGCACCTTGAAGCCACGTGAAGTTCCAAAGGATCGCTGTTAGGAGGCCACGGGGCATACCCAGGTGCTCGTATTCACTGACTGAGATGATTGGCAGATGCACCATCTGTGCCTCCTACTCTACCAACTTGCTGGATTTTATTCGTACGGCGCTCCGCTCGTTGTTGTGAGCGTCGCTCCTCGACTTTCCGCTATTGTTGAAGGGCGACAGCCTCCAGCTTCCAAGGAGCGTCCTTACCGAGCCATATCTTTCAAACATCTGTGAGCTCCTCGCACAATCCAGTCTGGTTAAACCCAGGGTGGGCCATAGGCAGGGCAGCATGAATGTTTCAAACCAGCGCAGATGTTCCTTTAAAAGGGCTCTACGTTTGCAAGCATAAGACACAGATTCACATTGAGCGGTAGTCCAGGTAACTTCCACAAAACGTGACCCAGCTGATGTTTAAATTCATAGTGCCACTCGACTGATTCGGGGTGAGACCTCCGCTGCCAATCCGTAGCTGGTCATAAGCACACTGCCCAGGTGTGGAAACTTCCCCACTCTCTCCACAACTTGCCCCATCACTCATGGGGAGTTTAAGGGGTGGATTATTTGATGATATAAAACACTCCAGCAGGTGTTTTGTGTTTGCGTGGGGCTGATGGCAAGGCCCCATCCCTTCGTGGCACGCTCCAAGTTCAGTAACAGTCCCCAACTCATTCTCAGCGTGTGCTGTGTGTGTCTTTGTGCCTGTCTGTGTTTCTCTGTGTGTATCTGTGTGTGTCTTTGTGCCTGTCTGTGTTTCTCTGTGTGTATATGTGTGTGTCTTTGTGCCTGTCTGTGTTTCCCTGTGTATATCTGTGTGTGTCTTCGTGCCTGTCTGTGTTTCTCTGTGTGTATCTGCGTGTGTCTTTGTGCCTGTCTGTGTTTCTCTGTGTGTGTCTATGACTGTGTCCGATTCTCTCTTTGTGTATGTGAGTCTTTGTGTGTCAATGTCGAATTTGTTGAGTTATGAGTATGGGAGTGGTGTGTCAATGCATGCGTGTCAGTGTGCATCTGGCTTCAGTCTGACCGGATATAGGGGGCTAAGCGGGCAAGGGACAGGCTAGAGTAGAGATGGACTGATGCGGTACAGAAAGATGTGGAGCTGAGTGGACTTGCCGATGACCGATACCAGCGGTGTCAAGTGAAGGATGCGGCTTGCCTCCAACAACAACAACGGAGGGCAGAGGAACGACGCTCACAACAACGAGCTGCGCGCCGAGCGGATAAAATCCAGCAAGTTGGCACAGTAGCTGGTACAGCTGGTGGTGCATCTGCCAGTCATCTCAGTCATCTCAGTCAGCCAACCCATGGCACCTGTCCCGAGACCTCCTGTCAGCGAGCCCTTGACACTTCACGTGGCCTCAAAGTGCACATAGCCTGGCACCGGCGTCGTGGTGACGTTACCGTCACTTAGTGGCGAGTGGCGGATATTGGTATATACCCGTGTGTGTTAGTGTATATGTGGGTGTTAGTATATGAGTGTGTGTGTTAGTGTATATATACGTGTGTTAGTATGTATATATATGTGTGTGTTAGTATATATATGAGTCTGCACGAGTTGTGTGTTAGTGTATATATAGTGTATATATGTGTTAGTGTATATATGTGTCTTAGTGTATATGTGTGTTAGTGTGTATATGTGTGTTAGTGCATATATATGTGTATATGAGTGTGCACTAGTGTGTTAGTATGTATATATATGTGTTAGTATATATATATGAGTGTGTTAGTATATATGTATGTGTATATAGTATATGTATATGAGTCCCATCGGTGAGCTCCTCCGGCAGGCAAGGCTGCGTTGGCTGGGTCATATAGCCTGCATGCCCAGCTACCGCATGCCTAAACAGCTTTTGTTCGGCCGGATCGAGGGGGCTAAGCGGGCGCGGCACGGGCTGGAGAAGAGATGGAGTGATGTGGCACAGGAGGACGTGGAGCTGAGTGGACTTGCCGATGACTGGTACCAGCGGTGTCAAGATCGGCCTCTGTGGAGGAGGCTCGTGAAGGACGCTACTGGGCAGTTGGAGGCAGTCGCCCTCCAACAACAACGGAGGGCGGAGGAGCGACGCTCACAACAACTAGCGGAGCGCCGGGTGGCTAAAGCACAGCAAGTTGGCACAGTAGGGGGCACAGGTGGTGCATCAGCCAATCATCTCGGTCATCTCGGTCATCTCAGTCAGTCGACCCGTGGCACCTGCTGGGTCTGCCCCGTGACCTCCTGCCAGCGGGCGTTCGACACTTCACGTGGCCTCAAGGTGCACTTGGCCTGGCACAAGCGTTGTGGTGACGTTACCGCCATTTAGTGGCGAATGGCGGTTGTTGTTGTATATGAGTCTGCACGCGTTGTGTTAGTGTATATATATATGTGTGTTAGTATATATGTATATATGAGTGTGTTAGTGTGTATATAGTATGTATATATGTGTGAGTCTGCACGCGTTGTGTGTTGTGCCCGCACGCTGTGCACAGAGAGAAGGCGCCGCGCCGCTGCGCGTGAAGGCGCGAGGAGGAGGAGCCGCGATCTCCATCGCTGCGAATCGTAAACACCGCGGGGAGGGGCCCGGGGGAGGGG